TCACTCCCACTGCTGATGACTTGTGCTGAAGCCTGAATGCCCCAATTTGTGGTATGTGCCAGGAGAAGAGCAGGATAAATTGAGAGCATCACTGGTGACTGAAAGCTGTTGCAATTCCACATTTCCTAGGTGAAAAGCCCAGAGGATTTGAGAAGGCAGAAATAACCCCTCATTTGTCCTTGCTAGCCTGACCTGCAGTGGAAATATTTCCCAACCTCAGACCTGGGGTGATTTTCACCCAACTGTACGTGCCAGCTGTGCACTGGGGTACTTCCCCCATCACAGAAACGCAGTTATTCCTGGGGGGTGACAGAGGAGTCCTTCACCATGGATAGCAGCATTAGACACTATTTTGGAGAGGTAACAGGTCAAGCTGCTGCTCTACAGCATTCCTGGGTCCTCTACAGTGGTAACCAGTCCCTTCAAATGCACCACTGTGGTTCAACCCCAGTTGAACCTAGAGTTTTCTCCTGCCTGTACAGGTGCCCAGCTTGGGGAGAGCATGCAGCGAATTTTAGGGGGTAGGAAGCATCACTCACGGATGGGCAGTGAGTGCAGACCCTCCTGAAGGGCAGGCTGGCTATGCCCAGGGGCTGGTGCTGTTCTCCTGTGCCAGCCAGCGCATCCTCAAGGCTTCCTCCGGGCATCTCTGCTGGGCCAGGCATTGGAGGAGACATTAACCGGAGCTGCTGCCTGTGGTGGGAGAAGAGGCCATCAGAAAGCACTTGGTCATTTACATCCTCAGTGGCTCAGAGGCTGGTTGGGTTCATGCAGCTTTGAAGAAGGAGGAGACTTGGGGGGAAGCTGTCAAAAGGTGTCTGGTGTTCCCTCTGTGTTGCACCCTGTCCTCCTTGCTGCCTGCACCAGGCTGTGCCAGTTGAGCTGGCAGGAGAGCAGCCAACACTAACTCCAACAGATGCCACTTTCTCCCGTGTCAGGCTGCCCAGTTTGGGCAGTGGTAAGGGGTCATGCCTCACCTTGAACTGACTTTGATGCCGGTGGTGGACCTCAGGGCTGGAGACAGCACGTGGCTTTCCTCTGCCAGCACTGACTGGAGGAGGTTGTCTTTCACCACGTATTGGCTTCTGCTTTTGGGCTGCCACTGGACTCCAAAAATCTTGAAAAAGCAAAAGCAAAGAGGAAAAAAAAATAAAGCAGTCTTTTCTCTTTTCCCTTCTCCCCAGGAGATTTATCTCTCTGTTAGCAGCAAAAGGGCTTTCCAGTCCACAAAGTCACCTGCTTCACTTGCAAAATGTAGGAAAGGAAAGTCCGGAAGAGTCCAACCTCTTCCTAGATGAGGGAGAAGGCAGCGCCAGGTGAGAACCGTGGCATGGGGATGCTCTTACCCATGGCTGATGTGGGAAGACGGGCTACCTCTTTCCTTACAATGTGGTGTCACCCTGGCTCAGCCACAGAAGAAAAGGGCAGCAGAGGGGTGCAGGGGATGCTCCTGCCTGACATGGGTGATGCTTGAGGGCTGCAAACTGAAAATAAATGCCTCCCAAAGCATGGCCCTTCCTTCAAGCCCATGTGAGAGTGCTAGCCCCATAGCTGCCCCAACGCAGCCGCGCGGTGTGGGAAAAGGTATGGCCCTCAATGCCAAAACCCACCTCATCCTGAAGAGACCATCGCCCAGGACTTTTGCCAAGCGAAAGAGGAAGCAACAGCAATTACCACCGAGCCAAAAAATTCTCAGCTTCCTCACTGTGCTGCATGGCAACCTTGGGGGAAGCTCTGGCTTTTCCCTTCCGAGAGAAATGACGCACTTGCTGGACTTCACCTCTGTCTTGCCTCCCAGCCGCTGTGAGGGCAGCACGGTCATGCTGGGAGATGTTATTGGAGCAGCTGGGCTTGCAGGTGGCAGGTCTTGGGGAAGAGTTGAGCCATGTGCAAGTAGTGGTTTTGACAGCAAACGGCATTAGCAATAACCATATCACTATCTCAATAGAGAGGGTTTTTTATCCACAGCCTTTGCCTTTTACAGAGCTGGCCAGAATCATTGTTTGCTGTCACAGCTATGGATACAGACAAGGTCCTGCCTCAAGCCAGATGGCAGGCTTGTGGGGAAAACCGTATTTCCAAAAAAAGTGTGCTGTGCAGGTTTTGTTACTTTCTTGGGTATGTTTGCCATGATTCATACCCCAGAAAGCATTTATTACGTGAACAGAGTTTGCATGCCAGGTGTCAAGACCCATGCCATAGCCTGTGGGTGATCTGCAACATGATGTCCATTTTTATGTGGCATTCAGTAGAATTTATATGTCTAAAATACTCATAACTTTTAATCATGATAGGTATAACTGCATTAAGACCCACAGGGTTTCATCTGTTCGTCAAGGCTGACGATTTGCTACTGTTTTAAATGAAACAAGCAGTGGTCTTCAGTTCTGTCCCCCATCAGCCTAATCCCCAGTCCAATGGCTCTTAGGTCCAGATGACTTTTCTGTATATCCACCTTCCCAAGCAGGATTAGCTGACAGGTCAGAAATGGTAATAAGGATGGGGTGACCTAGGACATCTTTTTTGCTCCTACCCACCTTGAAACCGTATGCTCCTGACCACAGAATCACAGAATGGTTTGGGTTGGAAGGGACTTTAAAGCTCATCTAGTTCCAACCCCCCTGCCATGGGCAGGGACACCTTCCACTAGACGAGGTTGCTCCAAGCCTCATCCAGCCTGGCCTTGGACACTTCCAGGGATGGGGCATCCACAGCTTCACTGGGCAACCTGTCACAGACCTTCCCCACCCTCTCCAGGAAGAACTTCTTCCTGATATCCAATCTAAACTTCCCTGCTTTCAATTTAAACCCGTTACCCCTTGTCCTATCAAGGGGTTGTACCTGCTGGTGTGCCCCACTTTGGGTATGGGTCTAAGAGCTAGAGCTCCATCCCAGGCTGGTGCAAGAGGCTGAAACCAGTTGGGAGGAGGAGGAGGACTCAAAGCCCACCTGCAGGATGATTTTGGGGACAACCCTGACATATCTGACATAAGTTGAGCCCACCCCTGCGAGATCAATAGACTTGCTTTGTTTGTGGAGGTGAACCCGGAGTTGGGCTTCGTGCAGCTGAGGAGATCTTTCATCTTTGTGATGGAACGGTTGGACACGGCGTACGTGACTTGGCAGCTCCCAGAGACATCCTCCTGAAACACAAATGTGACCGTGGTGAAGGGTGATCGGCTTTGATCAAGCCTGAATAAAATGATCTGTGTAGAGGACAGACACAGGGTGGGGTTTTTTTTCTCCACTTCCACTGTCCACGGAGATGATGATTTTGTAAGTGTGCCTATTCCCAAAAATCTTTATTTTAAATGATTTAAAAAAACAAAATTTAAAAGATTATTTTATATCTTATGTCTTTCCAATTGTCATCCTTGCTCACAGCCCAGGAGCAACTGGAGCAGCAAACCCAGTCATGTTTATCCTGAATTTTGCCTCTTCTGCTGAAGGACCGCGGCTGGCTGTGTTTCAGGCCCATCTCCCCTGCTGTGGCATTGTCCCTGGCTTTCGGGCAGGATCTGGCCCCAGCTCTGAACCTACCTCCACTGTGGTGCCGGCATGGGGCTGGAGCTGGAGCAGGCTGATGACACCTCGCTTCAGGTTCGAAACCAGGGTGCTCTCTACTTCATCCCCGTAAAGGGCTTTGACCTGGGAAGGTAAGAGGTTGTCTGTGGGGATGGCTCTGGGGAACCTGCGGCTCTCTGCTGCCTTCCCTGCTGAATGGCATCTCCCCTGCAACCTAAGCAGCACCCTGTAGAAGAAACACCTCCTTTTTTTCACAAGGAGGACCGTATCCCTCAATAGCATGGGCTTTATGGATGCATGCCCAAAAAATTTCATGTTTTTTGTCCCCCACCCCTACTCTTCCAACCCCTTAGAGAAGGTCAGAAAGGTGCTTATATCCCATGATTAGGACTGAAGCCCTTTTAACACGGGATGCTGCTGTCCCAGCCAAGCCTGCAGCCGCTTTGGAGGATGGGGTTCCATCTAGGGTCATACTGGGCCCTGTGGGAGTCTGTATATTCCTACATTTGCCACTCTGGTTCTTTGTGCTCTGATATGAAATCAGAGCTGGAGCAAGTGTTTGTAGGGGCTTGGTAGCCAGGAAAATCTGGGAGGTGGGCAGGAGTGTCCTGCAAAGGGCATGAGCAAGCCCAGGAGGCATGCAGCTGACCTTTCCACTGCTCCAGGAGATGAACACTGGCTGCTGGAGCTCTGCCCGTGCCTCTTGGCTCAGTGCAATCTCCCCAGGGGGACTTCCAGCGCTGTCCTGGCTCCTCTCCTCTTCTGGTTCATGGTGGGCTTTCAGGTCATGGATCTACAATGGCAGAAGATGGCAGAAAGCAGCAACCAAGCACGTCTGCTCTAAGGTTGGTGCACGTTTTGCACGCAGGCAATGGCCTCTTGGTCACAGGGGTCACTTTTCGGGTGTCACTACAGGGAGGGAAAGCCAGACAGCATCACTACTACCAGGAGGAGCACCCGGTTGCAATGGCTTTACCACCTCACGCACCTGCACCCGAAGGAGCTCTTCTCCTCCTTGGTCCCTCCAGAGCCGGTGCAGCTGGACCAACGCCTCAGCCTTCAGCCAGGCTCCCCGCAGGGACGTGGATGTGTGGTCCAGCTGGACGTCCAGGGAATAGCGGTACTGATACAGGGTCCTGGGCTGGAAAGAAATCTGCAAGTTTTCTGCAGAATCCCAAAAAAAAGGAAAGATGCAAATGTTAGAGGTAGGCAGTGGCAGACTACAGGCCCTCCAGCATGCAGCCAGCATCCTCCATCCTAGTCATCCCTGGACTTGCTGGGATCCTTGTGACTTGCACCGCTTTGCCTCCTGGAATAGTCATTTTTACACCAAGCAGTAGGTATAGCTGACATGTTTGTGGGAGAATATGGGAAGGTTTTTGTGGGAAACAATTTATGCCTGCAGTCTGGATATTTGGGGGTTCCTGCTTCTGTTTCCAGCCCTGCCTCAGAAATGATGGCCAGAGTCGGGACTCTGCCTGGGGACTTCAGGGCCTTTTGAAAGTGCCAGAGAAACACATTTTAATCCTGAAATAAAGTTTTCTGAGCATGCCCACAGACAGGAGAGATACCTCAAAGTGTCTTTTCAGCATTGTGCATTAACTGGGGCAATGTTGGCATTTTTATTTAGAGAAGAAGAGAGGCCACATTCTTCACATTGTGTGTTTCCTATCGAAACTGCTAACCCTTAACTAAATCACTGACTTTGATAGGGCAAAATGAAGTTGGTGGAGAAGTTTTAGTTTGAAACTCCTCTTTGCTTTAAACCTATCTATCTAGAATTATTTGGAGCCCCTTCTCTTGTTCATATGCAAATATGACTGGAGGGGGAGGGTTGCCTTTGCCATGACATAACAAGTCTGATCTGTTTTCTTAAGTCACTTGAAATTCTCCTGCAAATCTGAAGCACTCTGTTGGGCTTCTGAAATGTTTTATAGTTTTGCTGCTTTTGTTATATGATAAATGAATCAATGGAAATCCAACACACTCCCTGGGGCTTTCCTCCTTGAGCCAGACTGAAAAGTTTCTATATTTCTGCATCGTGTGCTCTTTAAAAAGACCCATCTCTCCAGTTTTCCTCACACACACCCCACCCCTCCCCCCAGGCAGGACTTGTACAGTCCCCCAAAATTTCCCTGCCTTGGGATATGCTCAGACTGTTCGCAATCATGGCAATAAATCTTCCTTCACCAACTGGGGAGATGTTGCATTTCAGTGAGTCCCGGGAGGCTCTTTGTGCACTGGGATGAACATCCCACCTCTCAGGGCATCCGAACCCCCTTGTTTCCCTGGACCCAAAACTGCTCAAAGCCTCTTACCTTTTGCTGTGCTTGTGAAGGAAAAGCAAAGCAGGCAAACGTATCCTGAAACCGCCTGTAGATTCATGGTGGGCCCTGGGAGCTGAGTGGGAATCAGGGAAGGAAGGGGGGTGGGAGAGGGACTATACAACAAAAGTGGGCAAGATTTGCAGCGTCAGGCGATGGGGCCTGACCTTCTCCCTATCCCCGCCTTCCACACCCAGGGAAAAGCAAATAATTAAACCAATGCACCAACCCCCAGCAGCCACGGAGGGTTTGGAAATCAGCTGAGGTTTGCCAAAGACCAGTGGGAGAGGGGGAAAGCTGCAAAAAAAAAGAGCTGCCAGAAGTATTGTGGGGTGGAGAAATTGCCAATTTGCCTTGATATGGGAGAGGGATGCTCGGAAAGCTGCTCTGTCCCTGGGTGAGCCACCTCTTCCCACCAGAAGGG